CGCTGGCTGTTTCGTCAGCGTTGTGGGAATGTGGCGCACTTTACGGAGTTGGTGAGCAGTTTTGAGGAGTTGCTGAGGAGGGAGTGTGAGATTGCGTTTTCGGGGAAGGGAGATGGTGGCGGGGATAGGGGGGGTGGGGGCTGTGCGGCCGTATGGGATTGGGGTGGAGGTGGGAGTGGAGGATGGGGGTGGTGAGGTGCGGAAGGGGGCGTTGGGGGCGTTGGGGTTCATGGGGTATGTGGAGTCCAGACCGGAGGTTTTGGTCGAGGCGTATGAGAATGGGCATTTTTGTGTGGGTGCAGAAGAGGAGGAGTATGATGATGAAGAGGAGTACGAGGAAGATGTGGAAATGGATGTGGATGAGACGGACTAAGCGCGAACGCGTTGCTATGACGATGTGTTGGATAGATTGTGTCTGAGATACTTCGTCATTGTTTTATACTGCGTTGAAGAAGATGGCATGTACGATATTGTGGATACACCTTCGCGAAGGACCCGTTACTGCATGTCTCAGACTATAAGTTCAGTGAAAATGAATTCCTCTTCCAATTCAAGACCCTCAATTGCCACGTGACAGTCGCCATATGTAAAATGGAACATTGCTCTTTCACGGTCAGAAATCTATTCTAACCTTCTGAATCAATAATCGTGAAACACCAATTGGAATCCCAAAAGTTCGTCTCACGCCTCGTCCAGGCTATGACCCACCTCACTCATCCTACAAAGCCAACAACCCAACCAACCCAGCCGCAACACCCGCCCCCAACCCTAACTGCACCTTACCCGCCGCGCCCGTGTTCTCCGGTGGCGCCTCGCCTGACGGCGTGATTGGCGTCGAGCCACTAGGCGTGATAACAGGGGTAGTTACATTGCCCGTCCCACTCGCGCTAGCCGTCGCATTCTCCGGGACACGCGCATTCAAAAAGCTCTCTACACGATCCGCCGCATCGTCGTAGAAGGACTTGACACCCGACGGGAGCTCGGAGTACCACGACGGCACGGTGGTGTAGATTGTGAATTGGTCGAGGGCGGTGACGACGGGGGGAATTGAGACCTGTCCATGTTGATGAGTTTTGCATTAGGGAGTCTGGAAATAAAAGGGCTTACGCTGGCGGTCGCGACGAAGTTTCTAAGCTCGGGGATGACAGAGGTGGCTTGTGCGAGGTAGGAGGTGTCTGTTGCGATTTGGAGGAATTCGTTTTGTAGGGCGGGGAGGTTGGAGGAGATCCATTGTTCGCTCTGTGGTGTGTTAGTGTCAGACATTCGTGTAAACAACCATGATGGAACGCACCTGTTCAGGGCTGAGGGTCTGCAGCGCCTGTGGGTATTCCGTAATGACGATAAAATCAGCAGCAGCGCCTGCGCTCAGGGCAGCGGTGAGAAGTGTGTTCTTGAAATGCATCTTGGTCTTGAAGAGAGCAAGCGTGAATGTCCTCAACGCACGCGGCAGATCGACCTGATATATACCTAATGTATTGGTTGCCTAACTGCTCCACATCTCCACAGCATACCAAGGTCTTGGTGCCGTTTACCGACTAAGATCCACCGCAAGGCTTCTCGCCTAGAGACTTGTTGACGCTATGACGTGGGACAAGACGGCGCAGTAGTCAGAGGATTGGCTCTTCATGAGGCGCAGACTCGAAAGTCGGGCGCCTATGGTAAAGTTCGCTTTCGAGAGTCGTGTTGGGTGAATGCTGCGAAGGTGGCCAAGGTCATGACTACAAATGCGCCTTGTAGGGCTTCTCAATTGCGTATTATTTCAACGTAGTTTGCTGGATTTGTCCAATACAGATAATGAATATACAGAATGTGGATGATGGGTAAAATGCAGCTGAGTTCGTAACGCCGTTCTATGCATGCCTCTTTGTATCGTTCGTGAAATCATAACACGTCTCGGCCAGCTATTGCTTGCCAATCCTCTTCTCGTACGCCGTCCACGCCGCGCGCTTATATCGCTCAGCCTCTGCTTTGCGATCTGCAGCGCGCACAATGCCTCGGCCAACGATGATGATGTCGCATCCTTGGTCAAAGATGAGCTTGTGCGGGGTGTTGTATTGCTGGCCAAGGCTGTCGCCCATCTTCTTGCCCTCCTGACCTGGCGGTGGCAGTTGACATCCGGGGGTCATGGTGATGAAGTTGTCGTCTGGCTCCGTGTTCAAGCTCCTTTGCGCAATGAAGCCCATGACGAATTCTCGGTTCTTCCTCGCTATTTCGACCGTTTCCTTCTGGTACTCTGGTGTCATGAGATGGCCTGCTGAGCTCATCTCGGCGAGGAGGAGGAGCGAGCGGAGGAAGGGTACTTCGCCGAGGCGCAGCAGCTCTGCGGCGGTGTCGAGATTGAAGACGTTTTCGTTGAAGGTGCCGGGTTCCGGTCGCGGTGATATGCTCTCTGTGCGCATGGAGAGTGTGGTAGTGACGCTGACGACACTGTGTTTCCTGTCCTGCGCCTTGATGCTCAGCCGACGCTCCTCGCCCTCCATCTCGATTGGCGACTCAATGGCGGACTCCTGCCTGACGGGCGCATCTTCGTCGTCGTCGTCGTCGTCGTCGTCATGGACGCCATTGATCTGCTGTATGCGCGGCGAAGCTGAGATCTCGGTGTTGACGCTCGTGTTGTACTTTGCAATGGTAGCTTCTGCGGCCTTCTCGAGGGCGGTCACAATGGCGGGGCCTGGGAGGACGTGTGCGTTGGTGATCTCGGCCCATAGGGCGATGCGGTAGTGGCCCGATGTGTACTGCTTCTGTACGGTTTCTGTCACGCTAAGTTAGGATACGCGAGCAATTTGATTTGTGATACAGGACTCGAGGGAAGGTGGGGCCAAATGGCAGACGGACTCGGACACGGGAAGCGACGTACCACCAATATCAGCAAATTTGCGGTCTTCGAAGATCAGGAAGCGCTTTCGCTGGGCGATTTCTCGCAGTGCGTGGGCGGTGCGGTCGGTCCAGTCCGTGACAATGTCGCAGTGGGTCTTGAGCAGGCAGATGTAGTCGCCGACCTCCTCCGCGATCTGGAGTAGCTCGGCGGAAGTCTCGACATCCGCGGATAGACAAAGGTTGGTCTGTTTGACGGCGACTAGGCTGAGGAGGTATGAGGCCAGAGGGCCCGTTGTCGGCAGTCCAGCGCGCGCCCGGTAGGTGCTGGTCCATGAGGGATGTGAAGGCATTGTTGGAGGGGTTTATGCCCGACCTGCAGCGTCGAGGTTGTCGTCGGGGTGGTTTTTTGGTGTTTTTTATTGTGTTTGCTGGGTCTCGAGGCGTGGAGAAGGCGCTCGCAAAGACCGTCTTTCTGCGTGCAGCGCGTGGGGCGCAGTGTTGTTTGTGGTTTGACGTTGGATGTGGGGGTGGCAGGAGGCAGCTGTCAGTGAGCGCAGGAAGGATAGGAAGGATAGGAAGGACAGGAAGGACAGGAAGGACAGGAAGGACAGGAAGGAACGATGGATCGCGAGGGCAGGCACCATGTCGCAGCACCGTCAGAATATATGCCCAGCCAAATTGTCATGCCCGCAGCTAGACAGCATACGTCCACCCTCTCGCACTTTTCCGTAAACGCGTTGTGAGGCAAAATTGCGACGTCTGTGCCTGGCCGGGCCGCCTACGTGCAGATCCCCGCCGCTGCATTCCACCGCTGCAGCATCATCAGCCCTCATCCCCACCCAATGGCTTCTTCTTCTCGCTTGAGGCCCACCCATTCTGCGGCCTTCCTAGCCGTTGTACAACCATCCTGGTCTGTGTACTCTCTTCCGTGGACAATATTGATCAGATGACGACGACCATGCCGACCATGCCGCGACGCGACGAGGCGCTCACCGTGATTGACAGCATAATCCTGTCTATGCACTCGCTTTCATGCCAGGCATGCATCCACCATTGTCCGCATCATGCGGTGACATGCCACCGACGCATGTTCGTTTGCCCTGCCAATGTTCCTTCCAACTAGCCAGCCTGCTTCCACCAAGCCGCAACCTGGACGCCACACGCAACTCCAAACTCAACCTCTGGTTACAGTAACGGTACTATGCTTGCTTTTGCGCCAACCGCGCTGCATCCAACGCTGCATTTCGGTCCGCACTGCGCTCTGCTTCACCGGCGACGTGGGTCCATCATACCACGTATACAACAAGTCTCGCGCTCCCCGAGACAAAACCTTGAACAAACGGACGCAGCCACTTAGCCATCGGTCTGGATGCCAGCATGCAGCATCGGGAAAGCTAGACTACCGTGCCGAGCAACGTCCCGGCGCCGAAGCTGCTATTCTGGGCGCAGTTAATATACGCGAGCCAATGCAGCATCTGCTTTTCTCCCAGTCTCTTTTTCCTTCGTCTAGGCCTGCTACCGAGTAAAGGCCCTTCCTTCCAATATCTCTCATAGCATCAAGAATCTCATCGGTCTTATTTTGCTTGGTAATGGCGATAAGTAAGGAGAACATCGCTCTCGCATTCGACCTTTACCCTTCCCTTGTCTCCTTTCGCTTCCAATCATCACATTCTCCGTGAGACCGAAGATAAGGAATTTCTCTCCACCTTCTATACGTGCAAACACGAGTGTTCAATGAGAGGCTAGTGGAATCATAGCCCTTGATGTGAGAGTCGAGACCAGTTGTGATTACACAGCACAGTAAGCACAAGTCGCTTCATTAACGCTCATTATGCTTTTCGGTTCCAACGGTAATGCCTGTAGCAGATCGAGAGCACAAACCCTGCAAACTCTTCATACACACCATTATGCCTCTGCCTTGGCTCTCATCTCGTACATCGGAGACATGTGTACATTGTGTCTTCTACGCTTCTCGCCATCTCCGTATTCAGATACGGTCAATGTCAGCTTACACGGCAACTAGCCTTTTTTCGAACCCTGTTACTACTATCTACATGTGAATGATGCTAGAACGAGGGGAAAGTGCACTATCCGATAGCAGCTGTGGGGGATAGCAGTCCTCGCACTGGAAGCTCAGCGGATTGCGTTCATTTGAGGTGATGAGAAAGTCAAAATCCTCTACCGCATGTTCTCACCTGCAAAGGAAAGCGACCAGCGTGCACCAAGCAGCAGTTCGATCTATACAGCCTGGAGCTATATGCAGCACAGCAAGGCTTCGTCTGCGACGGCAAGGCCTTGTGTACAGCTTCACGCACTCTGGTCGCTCTCCGCCGTAGTTTATGACCTGCAATACATGGACTTCACCGTAGGCGCTGGGCGAGAGTATACATCATGGTCGTGAACTCTGCGCAAGATTTGACGGCAATTACATCCACGAATGCACAACGCGGCGCGCGACACTGTACGAGAACGTTTAGCACACGCACAGTTTCCCATTTGGCTACATTCTCACCTTACCAGCTACCCAGGTTGCGCCGCAAGCCACTGGACGATTGGACGTCGCGCGTTTGCGTTCGTCGTGGTGTGCGGGAAATTTCATTCCACCTTCACCTTAAGAACTTCGCGGCATAAGAACCCCACCCCACTGCTATTCTCACCGATTCTTTCCTCTTCTTTCGTTTCCACCGAGCTTGTCAATACCTTCGTCCCTAACGAACTCTTCCACAACCTGATTCGCAAATATCCCACTTACACTTACGCACGACCACGATGCCTCCCAAGAAGGACACCGGTGATGCCGGCAAGACGACGCTCCTCAAGGGCTTCGAGGACAAGGAAACTAAGCTGCTCGCTGCGGCTTCCGTGAGCAGCCTTGGTCCTGATAAGGTGAGTAACTACACCCCTGCCGTGGCAGAGTGAGCTGCCATGCACGACACACAAATGCGCTTCCTGCAAGACGCATGCAAAATACGCTGAATGCGACCGTTGCAACTGAGTAATCACTAACATGCATCACAGTACGACTACGACCTGATGGCCGCCCTCACGGGCAACACCGCAGGCTCCCTTAAGAAGATGTGGCCGTCCGTCAAGAAGAAGGCTCTCGACGAGTACCCTTCCTTTGCTGGCTTCCTCGGTACCACCGGCGCCAACATTACCACCAAGTCGCCCACGAAGACCGCTCCTAAGGCTGCTGGTGGACGCAAGCGCAAGGTTCCTGTCGAGACCGAGCCTGAAGCTGACGGCGAGGCTGACATCGAGGCTGATTCCGAGGACGTCAAGCCCAAGCCTGCCCCCAAGAAGGCCGGTCGCAAGCCAAGGGCCGCCGCTGCTGCTGAGCCCACCATTGAGTCTGATGCCGAAGATGCCAAACCCGCTCCCAAGAAGGCCGGCCGCAAGACCAAGGCCGTTACCACTTCCCCCGATGATGGCGAGACCAAGCCCACTCGTTCCAGCTCGCGCAAGGCGTCTGAAGACCCCAAGTCCGCGCCTGCTGCTGAGGTCAAGAAGAAGGGTCGCCCGGCGAAGAAGGTCAAGAAGGAGGAGGTCAAGTCTGAGGAGGACTCTGCCGATGGTGGCGATGGTCTAGGTCAGTATACGCGCAGAGAGAAGGTGAAGATGTGGTTGAGTGGTACTGACGATAGATTAGAGACGATTGAGGAGGAGGTCTGAACGGATTATCGAAAGGTTGGGTATGGGGGGGCGATAGCTGTTTTCCAGGACGCAGCTTCTCTTTCTTTCTACCTTTTCCTATGTTCGGCATGGATTTGCGTCGCTGGACAGATTTGCACCGCATACACGCTCGCTCGCATATGTTGCTGTCTGTCAGCTTGATGGCATTTTCAAATGAGTTGGCATGATACCCTGAATGTCATTGGCCAGGCGCTACGATTGGAGGTTATATGTCATCACTTTCTCGAGTAGCTACATCGACATAACGAAAGGATTCTAGATGCTCATATTTTGCTACCGTGTGGTTGATCAGTCGTGTTGTATTGTTGGAACGGGACGTGGCGCTCACCGCGTTGTTGCACGTCTGACGGAACGCTTAGGACCACGTCTTCACCAGATTGAAGTCAACATGCCGTAAATGGAAGATCTACGTAAAGCTTCAAGACAAATTGTTGGGAATTGAATTCTGATTTCGCACTCAAGATTGTGGCCGGACGTGGTACTTCGTCATCGGATGTCAGGCGGGGCGGCACAATTCCGCGCGGACAAGCCCTCTGACAAACTTTCACGCTCGACTCACGATGCATACGTGATTAAGCAGAACCAACAGAAGTGCCGAGAATGTCGCAAGTCACTACTCCAGTGGCCATGCATATAGCTCGCGTCCCGCCACTACCCTCACAAATATGAGACTTGCACGCAACTTCCTCACTTTCACAACTTTCCTTCTGCAGCGACCGACTTGCGCAGGCAACACAACATTCAATCCACTCCACGGGATCCAACAGTTCCCCCTATCTTCCTACTCCAGCAACATGACGCGCCTCGCACCCGTCATCTCACTCTCACATGGCGGAGGTCCGATGCCTCTTCTAGGCGACCCGAGCCACCGTGACATTGTCGACTCGCTGAAGACCAAGCTGCCGAAGATCCTCAAGCTGGGCACGCAGGATGCTCCCAAGGCTATCGTGCTGGTCACGGCACATTGGTCGACCGATAAGGTCACCGTCAGCAGTGGAAGCAGACATGGGCTACTGTACGACTACTACGGCTTTCCACCTGAGAGCTACGAGATTAAGCATGATGCGCCTGGCAGCCCTGAGGTTGCGGGCGAGGTGCAGAAGGCGCTGGGGGAAGCGGGGATTGAGTGTAAACAGGACGCTGAGAGAGGTATGTCCTACTCCAAGTTCTCACCTACGACGGAAAGCAATCACTGTTGCAACAGCAGGCGGCTCATCCAATATCCTCAAGCTGTACGCGGGCCTTGTCATCGCAACCAAATCCTAGCGACACTGTGTACACCTTCAGGTCGTCGAAACACTCTTAGTTACTTCCCGTCGATGCGATATGCGCCTCACTCTGCAACCAAGCTAATAAACCGCTACACAGGCTGGGACCATGGCGTATTCGTCCCCATGAAACTCGTCGATCCATCCGCCACCATTCCCATCGTCCAACTCTCCGTCCTTGCCTCGGAGTCGGCCTCACAGAGCTACGCTATCGGGCGCGCCCTCTCCACCTTGCGTGCCCAGAACATCGCCATAATCGGGTCTGGCTTTGCAACCTTACACAATCTAAGGTTAATGTTCTCGGGGGAATCATCGACTCCGGCGTTCAAGCAGAAGAACGCTGATTGGAGCGGCGCTGTCACCGACGCTGCTATGACGGACGACGACGAGGCAAGGGCGCGCAAGTTTGAGGGCTGGAGGGAGTGGCCAAACGCGTACACGATGCACCCAAGAGGCGGCGCGGAGCACTTCCTCCCACTGATTGTGTGTGCGGGGGCCGCAAGGACGACGAAAGGGAGGAAATACGCGGACGATTTCAGAGGAGTGGATATGTGGAGCTACTACTGGGGCGAGGATGAGTAGTTGTAACGGTGGGATGCCGTACCATCTTACACCGAAGATCGCTATGGTTGCCTAGGATGAAGACAGTTCTAAACATACGCAACGTTTATTGCGACATCCCGCTATGATGGTTTGACGGGATGCGAAGCTAAATCGGAAACGGATAGACATCTGTGTGCCCCTGAGTGGACCTGCGTTGCCCCACTAAAAATATTGGTTAAACACGACCGCCGATCATACAACTGCTTCTGGCGGCCACGAAAACGGCCTCTCCCATTGCGAAACCGTCCGTCAGCTGTTCGTAGGCAGCACGAATGCAGGCGTTGTCCCAACGTAGGCCAACGAGACGTGCTCGCAGTATGATTGCTATAGGTGCAAAGCAACGCATTGGCGAATCCGTAACGCGAAATGAAATGAGGCTGTGTGAGAGGTGATGCGTCGTCAGGCAATCCGTACCCGCACGTCCCAGGTATATTTACGTGCACAAGCTGATGAGCATACGACGCAATGATTGACAGCTACTCGATAAGGATAGACACCCTTGAAGCCCCCGGTTTTTCGATCAATACTCCAATCTCAACAGAAAACCCGTCGCATCTTCATCTCTTTTGACTGAACATATTCACTCGTTACACAAGTACCTACTATTCACTAACATACCGACGCTCTCTACATCTATACACACGCAAACATGCAGATCAAGAATGCCCTCGTCGTCGCGGCCCTGAGTGCGACCGTCGCGTCGGAATTCGCAGTCGTCACCCGTCCCTCCGTCAACATCAACTTCGGCGACAGCGTACGCACCCTCCCCCTTTCCCCCCCTCACCCTCACCAACCCCCCACCTAACCCCCGCTCCAGATCCAATCCCAAATCGCCGCTCTCAGCAGCGAAGTCGCCGCCGCCATCGCCTCCATCACCGCCTCCGCGACGGCTGCGGAACTCTCGCGCGCCGCCTCCGCACACAG